CAAAGCTGTTGTTGTTTTTGTGTGTGTGTGTGTCCGTGTCCGTCCCCCCCCCACCCCCCACCCCCGCGCGCGCCCCCAAGACAGGGTTTCTCTGTGTAGCTTTGCGCCTTTCCTGGATCTCGCTCTGTAGCCCAGGCTGGCCTCGAACTCACAAAGATCCACCTGCTCTGCCTCCTGAGTGCTGGCTCATAAAGTTTTGGTAAAGAAAAACTTACTGCTTGTATGAGGCTCACTGGTCAAATGTCTTAGGACCTTGACCAAGAACCCAGTGCCCGCTCCTACCCAGAGGAAAGCACTTGAGGGCAGGAGGCAGCCTAAGGGCCCAGGCAGGGCCCCGCACCACCCACCCCGTGTTCAGTGTTTCCTGTAACCACGAAAGAAGGGCAGGAAAAGAGGAGTGGTCTTCGCGCTGCACACACTCCAGTTGTCTGAGGAAAAGCAGAGGCAGCTCCAGGTCGGCCTCTGCTCAGAAACAAAGCGACAGCTAAGAGAAGCCGCCACGCAGTGACGTTGGAGGAGACAGGAAGCAAGCTAAGCGCAGTGGAGCGCAGGCAGGCAGGAAGTGCCTTCCGCTAGTTCCTCTGGGCAGCCCAGGCCAGGCCAGGCAGGATGCACGGTCTGCCCTTTGGCCAACTACCCAGGCTGCGAGCACAAACTCCTGGAGCCGACAAACACAGGCCTCAGTCCGGGCACTCCAGGCCGCTTAGGAGGGGAGACACCAGGCACCTCAGCCCTCACGGCAGCAGAGCTCGGGGACATGGCACCCATCTTGCGCATGCCAGGCCCTGGCTGCACCCCAGCACTGAAGCTGAGGAGGAACCACAGCAGATGCAGCGCCCTGAAGGCTGTGCTGAGGCTCCGCCCTCTGTGCCACCACCACCCCCCCCAGTCCAGCGTGCTGACTGCCCGGCACTGGCTCTGTGGACAGCACGGTCCCCTCTGGAAGCGTCACTTCCCTGACAAGGAAAGTGGCTAGCAGTGGACTGGGGAGACAGGAGTCTTGACAAGCGAGCACAAGGACCTGAGTTCAATCCCACCACAAAGCCCTGGGTGTGGTGGCGCACACTGGGAGCAGAGCACACCAGCCTGGTCACCGTCCTCCAGGGCACGGTCTGAAGTGAGGTGGCCTGCACCTGAGCGAGCATGCCCGAGGCTGACCTCCAACACTGGCCCGAACTCACAAACCAAGTGAGAGGCGCAGGCGAGGCACACGGGCAGCCTGAAGCGCAGCCTCGGGCGGGCGCAGGAGCAGCCTGTCCGCTGTGCTCTGGCTGTCGTGAGCCGAGGCTGGAAGCAGACACCATCCAGGCGACTTCTCGCCTCGCTAGCATCCCAGCTATGCGCAGCCCGCGTCGCAGAGCCCGCCAGTCGCCGTGAGGCGGCCTCCAGTTGTCCCTGGAGAGCCTCCAGCGCCTCCCATGGCCCCAAGAACACAGACAGGTGCGGATCGGACATGGCGGCGGCGGCGGCGGCGGCACCCAACAGCTGAGCCCACTGCCCACCCCATCCCTCATGGCCAGCGGCCATCCAGCACAGGCCGCTCTGCCCGAGCAGGTGCCCTGTCCCCAAGGAGACCCGGTGCTCAGGCACTTTGCAAAGGCCATGCCGCTCAGCTAAGCACGGCCACACTGCCAGGACCTGCTTTTGGCAGCAGGGCCAACTACCACAGGCAGCTAGGACTGAAGAGGGTCAGGGACAAGAGCCAGCAGGAGCCCCAGCACCTCCGTGGACCGGGAGAAGAGGCACGGGGACCCCACAGCCACGGCTGACCACCCACAACCTGCAGCTGAGAGAGCCAGCCCACAGTGTGTGTGCCTGGCACACGCATGCAGCAGCAGCAGCAGGAACCTGAGGCCCAGAGCTCAAGGAGAAGCACATGGCGAGACCCTGCCTCAGAGAAGCAGAACAAACGCCCTGCATGGCAGTGCCCAGCTGCCATCCCACCACTCAAGAGGTACAAGGTCGTCCTTAATTTACACAGCAAACTTGAGGCCAGCCTGGGCTACCTGAGACATCTCAAAACACTCAAAATGATTGAGAATGTTTTTGGCTCTCGCAGAGGACCTGAGTTCGGTTCTGAGCACCACGTCAGTCAGTTCCCAAGTCCAGCTCTGGGGGACCACACCCTCTTCTGGCCTCTACAGGCACCCACATACATAAGCACTCCCATTCCCACCCCCATCCCACATCCACACATGCATAAAAGCAAACCTAAAAACAAACACGTCAACAACACAAACAAAATATTTGGGGCTGGAAAGACGGCTCAGCGGTTAAGAGTACTGACTGCTCTTCCAGAGGACCTGGGTTCAATTCCCAGCATCCAAGTGTCAGCTCACAACTGTCTGTGACTCCAGTATCAGGGGACCTGACACCCTCACACAGACATACATGCAGGCAAACCACCAACGCACATGAAATAAAAAATAAATTAGGGGCTGGAGAGACGGCTCAGAGCTTAAGAACACTGGCTGCTCTTCCAGAGGTCCTGAGTTCAATTCCCAGCACCCACATGGTGGCTCACAACCATCCGTGATGAGATCTGGTGCCCTCTTCTGGCCTGCAGTCATACATGCTGTATATATAATAAATAAATAAATCTTAAAAAAAATAAATTAATTAAAAATACACACACACATAAACACACATAAGCGCATACACGTGCGAGAAAAGAACGAACGAGAAGCGGGCACACAAACGCATTCCCCGGACTGACTGAGCAGCCTCTGAGGAGCTTCACCAGGTTCATGCCCTAGACCGCAGCATACGGACACCACAGGCAGAAGTCACGTCTGTGCCACATGGGGGTGGGGGCTGTGCCTCCTTAACCTGTCCCTGCCGGCAGGTCTCGGAAGTGTGTCCATTCACAAGCACCAGGCAGCAAGGCCTGTGGGCTGGTGTGTGTGTGTGTGTGTGTGTGTGTGTGTGTGTGTGTGTGTGTGTGTGTGTGTCACATCCACATGGAGCCCCGTTAGGGCGGAGCAGGACACCCCTAGCACACGGAGGAGCAGTGGGTCCTCACAGCCTTCCAGGGAGGGAGGCGCCACACTGGCCCACGCCTTGGCGGCCATCCACAGGATCTACTGGAAGGAGAAAGCTTTGCAGGCGGACTGGGTCTGGAAGGTTCCGGACACTTCACCACGAGAGACAGCTTGAGTGGAGTTTATTAAGCTCCCGAAAACAAAGGGGCCTTTCTGACTGGGCCAGCTGTCAGCCGCACCGCCCTTGCAGGCTGTGTCTGTGTGGGTCACACAGGCAGGTGCCCATAACCTCAGGGTTCCCTCCACAAGAGCCACTCCGGCAACGGGGCCACCCCGGCACTGGCCAGACACCTGGCCTTGGGTCAGGCCATGTGAGGGCCCCAGGTGAGGGCAGTCGGCCAGACAGTCTGCCACTCTGGCTCCGACTCCCCTGGCTTGTGGCTCGTGTGTTTGCACGTACCATGCACGACACACACACACACACACACACACACACACACACACACACACACACACACACACGGAGCTGGGTCTGCTCCCACCGTGTGCTCCCAGGCCGTTACCCACTGAGCTATCTGGCCAGCCGGGGTCTCCTTAGGAGAGCAGGTCTTGCTCTGAATCCCTGGCTGGTCTAAAACCTGAAGCAATCCTCCTGCCTCAGTCTCTCCCGCTCCTGAGAACAGTCCAAGCTCCTCACAGCACCCTAGGAGCTGGTGGCCTCCGGCAGACTGTGCCCAGCGATCCTGAGCTCACTCGGGACACTGTTACTCCCGTGCCTCCCCACTAACTCAGAAGGGGCCACTTCAGGGCCCACAGACCAACTTCCCTCACCTGCACCTGCCTGGCTCTGCAAGCCACACCCTGGCCGGGCAACACCAGGTCCAGATGGCATAAATCGGCGGCAGCCGGGGAGGGCTTGGCATTCACGGACGGAGCTGGGGAGCCCTCGGTCACAGGCGCAGACAGCGCGTGGGCTGCTGTGTGCACAGGGGGCGCTGCTGACCTCAAGCCAGGATCCAGGCCTGGCAGTCAGGCACAGGGGGACCCCCAGGGCCGTTACCCTGAAGCCAAAGGGGGCTGCTTGGGGGAGACCAGCAGACCCCACCAGAAGGAAGGCGAGCAGCCTGCGGCACCTCCACCTTCAGAAGACAGTGACTTGGAATCGGGTTTTCCCAGCTCAGGTCTCTGACCTCTTGCGGCTCCCACTTGGAGGAACACCCCAGGTCCGGACTGACCCAGGGCCACTCCTATACAAGAAGCCAAGTAGGTCCGAGGCTAGCCCAGGACACCAGCCTGCCCTGCTCCACCAGCTGGGCGCACACACCTGCCCCCCGGGAGTTGCCCACCTCCCTGTGAGTACCACTCAAGAGCAGTGCCCAGCTGGTGCCAACAAGGAGCTCCCAGGCTCTCCTGGGACAGGACCACAGGCAAGGTCACCAGCCAGGCAGAGGATCCCCGCCAGTGCTGGCCCCACAGATAAGGCCCCTTCTTGGAAGCCAGTAGGTGAAGTTGCCCAAGTTCTGCCAAGCCGAGCAGGCGATCAAGAGTCCCCGCGGCCCAGCGACGCCAACCACGCAGGACACCGCAGGGACCCGCGCCAGCACTGGCTAGCTACCTCCTGCTCCTGCCTCCCCCCGCCCCCCAGCCCGTGTTCACCATTATTTTTGGCCCCACCGGTTCCCTGACTCTGTAAACAAACTAGCCACCCGCCTGGCAACGCCCGCCAAGGAAGCCAGGCCCGGCCCGGCCGAAAGAGGAGGGCTGGACTGGACGTGCAGTCGGCCACAGGACGTCCCCCTAGGGCAGTCCTGAGGGCTCCCCCAGCACACCGTCCCCGCGCGGTCACGCTCAGGGATAGATGGGCAGTGGGAGAGAGGGGAGAGGAAGAGGAAGGAAACGAGAAGCGGAAGAAGGGGAGAGGGGAGGAAGGTGAAGAGCCAGGAAGCAGAGAGGGAGGAGGAAGGGCCGCCCAGCAGCTCAGGACAGCGCCCGAGCCGGCCCCAGGCCCCTGGCACCTACTTCTTGACGTTGGCCTCGCCATTGGGGATCCTGCGCAGCTTCTTCTTCTTGAGGATCTTGACTGCCCTGCGGCACAAGGTCTCGGAGTCCAGCACCTCCTTCACCTTGCCGTACGAGCCCTCCCCGAGCAGGTCCCCCATCAGGTACTTGCCGATGAGCTTGGCGCGCTTGCGGCGCGGCTGGTAGATCACCTCGGTGGAGTCGATGCGGTGGATGAAGGTGTCCATGCCCACCGACATCAGCTCGCCCTCGGGGAACAGTCCCAGCGGCTGGGGGTCCGCCACGTCCATCCTGGCCCAGTCTTTGTCCTCGTCCCCTTCGGGGAAGCCAAGTCTCTCCGAGTTCGAATCCCACCCCACCCCCCCCGCTTCTTCCAAATGTTCAAGACAGAAAAAGGGGAAAAAGAAAAACCGACCTCCCCA